TGGCGATGGTCCATAAAACTTTCAAAATACTTATTTGAGAGATGGCTTACCTAAAAGCTCACACTTAGAGAATTTTTTTTTAAACAGAGATGCTTATTAATTTGATAGGCTTCCAATGTCTACAGCGCAGTCCTGCCACGAAAGCAAAATAAGGATCACTTTATTTCTCTCAAACCATAAAAGGCTCAATAAAACAATGTCAGATTGAAAGATTCCAACAAAATCAACAAGTAAGCGTTATGTAAACAAACTTTTTGAAATACACGTGAAAAACACAGTAAAAACATTGAATCACCCGTTATTTAAAAATCTAAATATGGTACAGATGGCAGACTACTCCTAAAAAATTCAAATAAGAACTCCATAAAGATTATCGTAGTGCTTAACAATTCTATCCCTAGCTGATGCTGCTTCAGCGGAAATTTTGCGCTGGGAGGTCGGCTGTAAGGGAGCAAGAGCATCAGTTGTAGGTGGATATCTTTCCACATAAGCTGCTACGTCTTGCTTCCAGGCTACGAGGTTGTGAAGGATCTAAATATCATAATTAAGCGTTGATCGATTAAGGATTTGGAGAAATTCTTTGTTTAAACGCCAAAAATGTTCGAATACAAAGAAAATTAACGATTGATCGTGTTAAAAATCTGTAGAAAAAGAAAATGGAAATTGAATTAGGAAAAATTATCCGCATGGAAGGTTTTCATCAATAAAAACTTTCTTTTCATAAACCACACTATAGTGCTACGCGTTGCGTTCGCGACGCGTTTCAAGCCCCGCCCTGTCAAAATATTCGAACCAATGCAAACTAACTTACCAATAAAGATGTCACTAGCCTTCCACCTCTAGTCGGCTCTAATTGTAGAGGTTTTTGAAGTACGGCGAATCGTCGTTGTAACATTAGAAAAGCTGTGTGTATCAGGCCACGGGCACTAAAGTTTGAAAAATCAGAAACCAAAAATTACAAGTCAAAGCTCAAAATGAAAAATGTTTTACTTACCACCCATGTTTCTTATTAAATCTCTGCTTGCTTCCCGAATCAGCTGACCGTCCCGTGAATGGTTCCACGTAACGCGCACCTTCACCTAGGCCATCATCGGAAAGGATATGATATTGAACAGGGCCAACAGTGCCAAGATTAGCGGTTTCTGGGAAGAGATCATCGCATTCCTTGAGAAAAGTCTAAAAATTGTTGAGTTTCCAGAAAAAATCAAATTTTTGGAGCCAAATTTCCTCACGTAAATGCTGGAGCTTTTGAATATAGAAGTGTCCCCAAGAGTTCCCGGCATTCCGATGTCAAATAAAAGGAAACGATAATCAGCATCGCAGATGGCTAATAGCACTATTGATTGGAAATTTTTGTAGTTTAGGTAATCCTCTACACCTCCATTTGGTTTCTATAAGAAAATTTGAGGTGAAACCCTTTCTTCAACAAAAAATTTACGTTTCATCTTTTTAATTTGATTTCTTAATAAGCATTTATTTTCATTATCAATAAGTCT